AAGATCAGTGAAACTGAGAGCTGGTTCTTTGAAAAGAAACAAAATTGGCAAACCTTTAGCTAGAGTCACAAGGAGAAAAAGAGAGAGCTTAAACAAATAAAATCAGAAATGAAGGAGGAGACCTTACAACTGATACCACAGAAATACAAAAGATGATAAGAGGTTACTATGAACAAGTACATGCTAACAATTTGGACAATCTAGAAATAGGTAAATTCCTAGAAACATAAAACCTGTAAGACTTAATCATGAAGAAATAGAAAATCCAAACAGAGCAATTACTAGTAGGAAGATTAAACTAGTAATCAAAAGCTTCCCAAGAAACAAAAGTCCAGGACAAGACAGCTTGACTGGTGAATTCTACCAAACATTCAAAAAAGAATTAATACGAATTCTTCCAAAAAATACAAGAGGAGTGAACACTTCCAAATTCATTTTATGAGGCCAGAATTACCCTGAGACCCAACCAGACAAGGACACCACAAGAAAAGAAAATTATAGGCCAACATCTCTGATGAACATAGATGCAAAAATCCTCAACAAAATACTAGTAAACTGAATTCAACAATACATTAAAAAGATCATACATCATGATCAAAGAATTATCAGAGGATGCAAGGATGGCTCAACATCCCCCAAATCAATGTGATACACCACATTAACCAAATGAAGGATAAAAATCAAATGATCATATCAATACATGCAGAAAAAGCATTTGACAAAATTCAAGATCCATTTATGATAAAAAGCTCTCAACAAAGTGAGTACAGAGGGAATGTATCTCAACCTACTAAAAGCCAAATATGACAAACCCACAGGTAATATCATATTCAATGGTGAAAAGCTGAAAGCTTTCTCTCTAAGATCAGGAAAAAGACAAGGATGCACACTCTTTCCATTTTTATTCAACATAGTATTGGAAGTTTTAGCCAGAGCAATTAGGCAAGAAAAAGAAATAAAATGCATCCAAACTTAAAATGCAGAAGTAAAACTCGCTATTTTTATGACATAATAGTGTATATACAAAACCCTAAAGACTCCACCAAAAGACTTAGAACTAATAAATAAATTCAGTAAATTTTTAGGATACAAAATCAATATACAAAAATCTATTACATTTCTATACACTAATAACTATCAGAGAAATTATAAAACAATCCCATTTACAATTGCAACAAAAAGAATAAAATACCTAGGAATAAATTTAACTAAGGAGGTGAAAGACCTGTACACTGAAAAACTGTAAGAACTGATAAAAGAAATTGAAGAAGACATAAATAAATGGAAATATAGTCCATGCTCATGAACTGGAAAAATTAATATTGTTATAATTTCCATACTACTCAAATCAATCTACAGATTCAATGTAGTCCTTATCAAAATTCCAATGGCATTTTTCAGAGAAATAGAACAAACAATCCCAAAATTTGTGTAGAACCACAAAAAAACCAAATAGCCAAAGCAGTCTTGAGAAAGAAGAACAAAGCTGGAGTCTTCATGCTCCCTGATTTCAAACTATATAATGAAGATAGTAATCAAAACAGTATGGCCTTGGCATAAACACACACTCATATGTCAATGGAACAGAATAGAGAATCCAGAAATAAACTGATGCATATATGGCCAATTAATTTATGACAAAGGAGCCAAGAATATACAGTGTAGAGAGGACAGTCTCTTCAACAAATGGTGTTGGGAAAGCTGGACCACTATATTACTCCACATACACACAAAAAATAACTCAAAATGGATTAAAGTCTTGAATCTAAGACCTGAAACCATAACACTCCTAGAAGAAAACATAGGCAGTAAGCTCCTTGTAATTGTTCTTAGAGATGACTTTTTTTGGATCTGACTCCAAAAGCAGGGAAATGTGATTCAAAATTACGAGCTATTACTTCACACCTGTTAGAATGTTTATTATGAAAAAGGCAAGAGATAACAAATGATGGGGAGGTGGAGAATAGGGAACCCTTGTGCATCGTTGGCTGGAATGTAAATTGGTGCAGTAACTATGGAAAACAGTTTTGAGGTTCCTCAAAAAATTAAAAATAGAACTACCATATGATCTAGCAATTCAACCTCTGGATATTTATCCATTGAAAATAAAAACACTAATTTGAAAAGATATATGGACCCCTACGTTAATTGCAGCATTATTTACAATGGCCAAGATATGGAAACACCTTAAGTGTCCATCAATGGATGAATGGATAAAGAAATTGTGGTATACAGATCTTTCTTGAGCTTTGATGGGGTTAAATCCCAATAACCCATTGTAAGTTGAAAATATTCTAAGTCAAATATGCATTTAATACCCCCAGCCTACCGAACATCATAGCTTAGCCAGCCTACATTAAACACTTACATTAGCCTAAATCAGTTGGGCAAAATCACACAAAGCCTATTTTATAATAAAGTGTTAAATATCTCATGTAATTTATTGAATATTGCACTGAACGTGACAAACAGATTGTTTGTTAAGTGTATTGGTTGTGTTCCCTCATGATTGCATGGCTGAGTGGGATCTGCAGCTCGCTGCCACTGCCCAGCATCTTGAGAGAATATTGTACTGTATATCACTAGGCTGGGAAAAAAACAAAATTTAAAATTTGAAGTATGGATTCTAATGAATGTATATTGCTTTTGCACCATTGTAAAGCTGAAAAATCATAAGTTGAACCATTGTAAGTTTGGGACTATCTATATATATGTAGTGTGATATTATTCAGACATAAAAAAGAATAAAATCTTACCATTGTGATAACATGGATGGACCTTGAGGGCATTATGCTAAATGAAATAAGTCAGACAGAGAAAGACAAATACGGTATGATCTCACTTATATGTGGAATCTAAAAAAAACAAGCTTGTAGATAACAAAGAACAGGTTGGTGGTTGCCAGATATGTGGGGTGGGCAAAATGGGTGAAGGGGGTCAAAAGGTGCAAACTTCCAGTAAAAATAATAATAATATATTATAGCTAAGTGGGGTTTATTCCAGGAATGCAAGGTTGGTTTAACATGCAAAAATCAATATTACTCACCTTATTAACAAACTATTAGTGATGAAAGATAGGCTGGCAAATGGTAACAATTTCTACTTGAATTAAACCAGCTCACCCAAATAGTGATGGGAATAACTCGACAATGACATATATCTAAGATGATGTTCTAACTCTGTAAAACATATGCAGTGGTGGAACAGGTAATATGTACTTGTTATAATCAGATGCCAAGAGGAGAGCTGGGAAGATTTTGAACTAAACATGCTCTTCCTCTTCCCAACTCAGCAATCAGATAAATCCCCACAGAGGGAACAAAAGAGAGTGCAAAGAAAGGGAGGTGTTGCTCCAAGGACAGTTTCTGCTGCATAGAAGCATCAGAGGCAGAGAATAAATGTTCTCCCATAATCCTCCATATGAATATGATTTTTAATATATACATTTTAAACTACTGGCCTCTGCAGTAAGGTATAAAAAAGGAAGAGGGACGAAAGAAATATGTAGAACTATATTATGTATTTAGAAAAATCAAGAGGTAATATTAAAATTAATAAAAGTTTAACAGCTGGATACAACCATACTTCTCTATTAAAACAACTAAAAGCATAAAATGCGTTTTTAAATCACCTTGAAGGAGGCATCAAAAGAAAAATTACTTCAGAATAAATTGAAAGATGTGTTTAACATAAAATATTACTTGGAAATAAAAATTTTTATATAAATGCAGAGGCAATCCATGTTCCTGGTTAAAAGGAATTATTATAAGTTTATGAAATTAATCATAGTTAGCATTATTTGTAAAAAGTATTATAAAGTTATTACCTTCATCCAGGCCCTCACCTCCCTATAGTCTGTTTACCACACAGCAGCCAGCCAGAATGACCTCTTAAAACTGAAATTTAGAACATATCACCAGCCTGCTTAAATCTCTCCAGTGGCTTCCCATTGTTCTGAGAATGAAATCCAAACTCCTTACCGTATTCTCCTCGGTCCTATGCGATCTACTCCTCGATTGCCTTTCTAGCCTCATCCTGTTGCATCTTTGCCTCACTCAAAACACTTCAGACACACTGACCCATGTCTGTTCTTAGAACGTGTTAAGTTCTTGCTTTGAGGTCTTTGTTCTTCCTATTTCCTGTTCCTTTTAGACTTCAGCCCCAATCTTACTTCAGAGGGCCCTTCTCTGGTCATTCATCTAAATTAGTCCCTCACAGTGAGTTTCTATCAAGTCATGTGATTTTATTTTTATAGCGATTACCAGTATTTAAATTAGCTTATTCATTTCCCTATATACTTTTTATTGTCTACCAGCCTTCCTCCCCACTAGAATAACTCCATGAATGCAGAGTTCTTGGTTCAGTTGATACAAGTAGAACAATTAATTCCTGGCTGTTATAAGGAAGCTCACCACTGTAACTTCAAGGCATAGAGCATTTTTCTGGACCATATCAGGCACTAAATAAATATTTCCTTAAGGAGTGTTGAATGTCACAGAATGAATACTGAATGTGAAAAGTATGGAGTGATGTATATACCAAATCAATACACTTTTATTATCTTTTTGACTTAAGAGTTATGAATGTGTTACCTAAATAATTGCATTGCTCATTCAAAGAAAAATAAATAAAAGTAAAATAATTAAAATTGTAAGAAGACAACGAAGGATACTATTTTCATAACCTGAGGGTAGGGAACATGATGCTACTCTGGTTTGCAGTTCTTTTGCATCTTCCATTGATATTCTAAATATATGAGTGCAAATTTGTGTTTATGTGTATTTGTGTTTACAGACAGATAGATAGCTGATAGCTAGCCAGCTAGATATTCTTTTTTCTCTTACCAACTTGATAGCCAGGAGTGAGTCAGTGAGTCTATGACTTAGCAACCACATTATCATAGAAGTCTGTTAAAATGGATTTCTGAGCTTTAAATCTGAAATTTCATTTTACAATTAAAAATTACACCTCTCTCCTTCCTCTCTCTCCCTTTCTTTCAGTACGCACAAATTTTGAGAGAAAGACTGAGAGAATCGTTTCATGATGTTCAGTATGTAGAGCCTCCATTTGATGACTCAATTGCCGATTTAGGTAAAGAGTGGAAGAGTGCCCTGGCAAAGTTAAAGTTTGCTAATTCATATAGAATGGAGCCATTGAAAAAATTCCAAGCTCATTCAGTAGAAACTAAAGTCCAGCAGATATTAAAGGTAGGTTGATAGATATATACAATAGCTATATCTTAGCTTTGTGGGTTTGATAAACTATATTAAGATTTATGGCAGTATAATTACCCTGATTGACTTTTTGTAGTATTTATCTCTGAAAATATGAAAGTACTTTGTAATCATATTCAATAATCTTCACATTGACCCAATGAGCTAGGTTAAAGGGAATATTCTTTTGTTATTTCAATCAACTCTTAATTATCCATAAATTATTTATCCCTCAGTTTCCATGTTTCTCCCATATTTGGAGGAATGAGTAAAAAAAAAATCTTGAATATTTACATGTGAATGAAACATGGTTCCCGACTACACTAAAACATCCTAAGAACAGGCAATCCCCAACTTATGCATAGGTTTTCTTTTTTAAACCGGCTGGAGTCAAAAGTTCATTTAAGACAGTTGTTTGAAACTCAGACACATGTTTCCGTCCTAGTCCAAGAAAGCTTCTTCAGTTTTACAAAACTGATATTGTAATCCTAATACCAATATTTACACTAGTTTTGGTATCCGAGGCTACATTGTTCACATGGAAAGAATTCCCTTCACCATCTTTCCTAATCAAAGACAAAATTAAAATTTTTTAATTATAGAAAGTTTGTTTGAAGGACCACCTCTTCTGAATTCCTTTTTCATGTTTGGTCCCTCGTTCTGAGCACCAGGCACTCAGGAGTTTTCTGATGTGATTCCCTTTGTGGGACTCCACCTAGCTTAATCCCACTGCAGTGGTGTTCCTTGTTGTAAAATTACCTCCTGCCTTCTGATTTACAGGATGCATTCCTTCAGTTACAACTGATGTGACCTAGCTATTGGGAAGAAAGCAAGTGTTTATTTTGTGTAAATGATCATTACCCCTTTAATCACATCAAAGTTCATTCTTTAAATTAATTAACCTTTCTTAATACAGAAGAATATTTAGGAGACCCACTCTCCAAACTCTCTCCACTACCACAGACATAGATACATTTCTAAACTGAACTAATAATTGTCAGATGATATTTGGCAAAGATATAATGGCTTATGATTTCAGGAAATAAAGAAATTCAACTCAATTTAATACAGTAAAATAATTATTGATTACCTTCTTCTCTGATCTAAACACTAATAGCAAGAATTTGTGATGAGAGAGTGTGTTTTGTTGTATCTCTCACTCAGCACTACCACATAGACTGAGTTTAAATTTATTGAATATAGTAGGATTTCAAATTGTATTTATGTATGATAATTTATAGAATTGCAAAGAGCATGATGGGGCCTGGAACAGCTTATTGGATATGTAGGTGGATGGCTAGAGAGTGTAAAAAGCCAGAGATTTTCCCTTGGGTTCAGGGAACACTGAACATAGTTCTGGACACAGAAATAGCAAATATCGATGGAGCTTGTGGGTATCTTCCTAGCAAGTGTTCATTATTTATTTAAAAAGAGCACTTTGCTATGTCCCTGGGAAATTTCTCTACTTCCCTAGACCTAAAGAAAATAGGTAAAGGAGAGTGAATTGGGCAAAAGGAAAAAAAAAATGCCCCAGAATTAAGGGAAAATAATTCTGTATGAGAATATGCTATGAATAACTTTCTCCTGTATAAGTTAACTTAAGGATGTTTTATGTAATTTAAGTGAGTTAATGGAAGATAAAAAGCTCAGCGTACTCTATGTAAGGATGGCTACAAGCATGGATTCTATATGATAAAGTCAGAGCTGAATTAAATTCATAGCCTATTACTTGCCAGCTTGTGATTTTGAGAAAAATGTTTAGCCTCACCTAGATTTATTTTATTAATTTAAGGTAGAATACTAATGGATATTAATAGAATCTGTCACGTCTGTTATTTTGAAGATTCAACAAGAAAATATATGAGGTGCTTTTCATAGTGTCTGGAATATAGCAAGTGCTTAAAATATGATAACCTTTAGTACTAAAAATGATGATGTATAAAGGGTTAGTGCCATCCAAGCTCATTAAATCAGTCATTTCTGCTGGGAAAAAAAAAAAATAAAAAGAGCACTTTGGTAGATAAAGCCTGAGATCTGTTAGGCAGATTCAGAAGAGAGAATGGATGTTGCTAAGGGTCCAAAAGATAGAGCCACTGCCAAAGGCCTGACAGAAATAAATGTTTCTAAACACAGTTTTAGATCTGGAAGCATTCTAGAAGGGAACCAAAACCAAAAAAAGGGCATTGTCTTTGGTTTTACATGCCTATAAAATTAGCTGGTAGGAGTCCATGTGCTACCCCTAGAACCCAGAACATTGGCTAATTTATCCTTGGTCCGTCAGTTAATCAAAGGCGTATGCCATTTGCTCACTAGATGGTCCAGGTCTGCCGATGGTCTGTAGGAAAGTGCAATGCTTCACGGCCCACACCCGTCTCCCCCCGGCTATACATTAACTCATTAACAAATATGATGACAAATTCTTGATTTCCTTGGCATTCTCCTGGAGGCCACAGAAAAAAGCATTAGAGGGAGAAGCCATGGGAAGAGGATTTGAAGGAAGCGTGCTTTAATTCGAGGAGACTGAGGAAGACAGGAAAACATAATGCAGGCTCCAAGTCCAAGTAACCTTTGCTTTAGCAAAACCCAAATCTGAATTTTAGCAAATATATACATTTTAAAAAGATTTCTTTCCTCTAGTTAAGAATTCCCAGAAACTTTCTTTTAAAATTCCCCTAGCTCTCCCTAGTAACTGATAGACAAAAGCAGTAAGGGAAACTTACAGCTTAAGAGTTGGTAATGAAGAACAATTAAACATAATCAAAACCTAAAGTGATTCCAAATTGTTATTGATAAATTGGTAAGCATAACATTCATTTAATATTATTTGGTTAAGAATATGTATATTGTTTTAAAACTTATATGTATTATTTAGACACGTTTCCTACTTGAATTTCTACTCAGAAAAGTGTTTCGTTTGAAAATTAAAATATTTTTCTTAATTTTTTTAAAGGAAAGTCTTGAAGATGTCAAATATGATGATAAAGTCTTCTCTCATTTGTCACTTGAATTAGCAGACCGCATATTGTTAGCGGTGAAAGAATTTGGGTACCACCGTTATAAGTTCATTATAAAAGTATTATTTATTCAAAAGACTGGTCAGGCAATAAATGTAAGTACCTGTTTATCCAGCATCTATCAATTAGGACTATAGGGTCTCTCCTCTCCAGTGATTTGATATTTATTGTCCTCTCTCCAACGCACTTGAAGATCCTGAGATGCCTCTTGAATGAAAGGAGAATTTTGTTAAACATATTTTCTTTCATTATTAATTATGTGAAAAGTGCTAACCTAGAAATGGCAATTTTCTATTAATAATTTATTAAATTGTATGGATACCCTGTTTCTTGATCATATTAGTTTTGACGGTTTATTGTCTTTTAATAATTAATTGTTGTGATGATTAAATGAGGTTATCTGTATTAAAATCCTTAACATAGTCTCCAGCACAGAGACCTCAATAAACAGTAAGGTTATTATTATTATTCACAAATAAAAATGCAATACCACCAGGCTGTGTAAGTTTCTAGTGAGTTGAAAGTTAATATGTGCATTGGGCACAGTCTGTATAGGCTTCACGGAAGCATGGAGAGGAGGACTCGGACAGGCAGAGAGGTGCTGGCCACACAACAGTCAGCAAGACAGAGGTGAGGGAGAAGAGAATTACCATCACATACTATACATACACTTAGGTAATGGGAAAGTTCTGGATGGTGAAAGTGCTCCATAGGGAAAGTTAAGGTAGGGCAATATAATAGAGTGACAGAGTAGCAACTTGGGCTTGTCTAGAGACAGGGCAGGCCCTCTGATATCTGAAAGACAAGAAGAAACCAGCTGTGCCAAGATCGAGGAGAAGAGCTTCCAAGCAGAGCAAACATGGAGGCAAAGATCCTATGACAGGAATGAACTTGGTGTGCTTGATTAATAACCAGCATGGTTGCAGTATATTTGGGTAGTGGAGAGTGGTATCATGTATACCAGATAATATTACTACACACCCAACCAACCCAGCATTTGGCAGCTTAATACAACAACAATTTATTTGCTCATCATTCTGTGGGTCAGCTCAGCCTGGATTAGCCATGTGGTTTTCTGTTGGTCTCACTGATGCACTTGCAGCCATCTGATGATTCAACTGGGCTTGAAGGTCCAAGATGGCCTCGGTTATGTGTCTGACAGTGGGTGCTGGTTGTTGGCTGGGGCGCCTGGGTTCCCCTGCACATGAGCCATCATCCTCCAGTGGACTGAATGGCCTTCCTTAGATCAGGGTCTCCTCATGCCATTCTGAGAAGGTAAGAGCAGAAGACCTCTTAAGACCTTGCTTGGAAGTTGCACCATGTCACATTCTTTTGCTCAGAGCAAGCCCCAAGACCAATTCATATTCAAGGGGTAAAAAAAGACTCAACCTCTTGTAGGGGAAGCCACAAAGGATTTGTGGCCATTGTAGATCCACCACAGAAAAGTAGGCTGTAGTCAGATCATGTATGGCTTTGTAAGTGAAGCAGAGGGATTAGGATTTTCTCTAACAGTCTGCTTGTAGAATCATTGCCATTTCTTCATTTCAAGACAGGGTCCTAATAAACTTTCTATTGAAAGTATTTTAAGGGCATGAAGAATAATTCCTTATCGTGGTCTCTGACACAGCAGAGTGGTACTCTATGCAGAGCTACTAGACCCAAATCACAGAGGGCTTCCTGTTCCTGCCTCTCAGCCAAGGGAGGTCTCTGTGGTGATGACTACCATCCCAGTCAAGGAGAAGGTGGGCCCAGGAAGTGTCACTATTCGGGAAAGCTTGACAAATTGCTTCTAAGTAGAACTTTCTAAGATACTGATGCATCTTTTTAAAAAAATCAAACTTGCATAGATTTAAAAATTACTTAAATGCTCAATCTAAAGTTTGTCTTTTAAAAATTTCTCTCATAGATTGCCAGCAGGTGGATCTGGGATGTTGCGTGGGACAGCTGGGTTGCAGCTAAACATGAAACTGAAGCTTATGTGGCCTTGGCCTTGGTATTTGCTCTTTATTGTGAATAGCTTGTTACGTGTGCTAGAGAGTGGTTACTCTTCAACTTTTCAAAAATACATCGTTTATAGATTTATGAACCTCATAGTAGGTTTTATTAGCTATATTTTTATCTCCAATTGAACTTCTTAATTGTATTCTTTTAACAACAAGTAAAAGTTAGATTTTTGCCCTTGTATTACTAGTTATCATTTTTATTAACATTTTATTACCCCAAAGCACAAGTATAAAAGGTACATATATTTATAGACCTTATATATACACATCTTTATTTGTATACATATGAATATATGTACATTTAAAGTGGATTATAATATGAGGAAATTGCCATTCTTGTTAGATTTAAGAAAATTAGGATTTGCTACAGGAAATTATGATGCAACTTTCTAAAGTGTCAAATTAAGTAAATGTCAGGATAGATTTTAGAAAACTTCTAAAGGCAGATGTATTTTGAATGGTATTTTAATAAGTTGTATGCATTCTTTTGAAAGGAATTACCAAATTCCTTTGAATTTGAAAGAAAGATGTAATGTATTTAATACTTCTTTAATTCATACCTCCCTCCTTAATCAAAATGCTTACAAATGTGTGGTCTTTCTATTTCTTAGTCTGTTAGTTAGGCTCTTTGTAGATGCAACAACCAAAACAATCTAGCACATTGTTTTAAAAAAAAAAGAGGAAAATTTTATTTCCCAGGAATTTGATCAAGGATCCAGGTTCTTTCTATCTTCCTACTCTCCCTGCAGACTTCTATGTACATTTGTTTAACTTGATCGAATTTAATCATGTTCCCATGACTAGACCAGTCATAATTCTCTCCCTGGGGCTGAGGCTGGAGCCCACATTCCCTGGAGCACATGGCCATGTGAAAAGTGGATACAACTATAAATTGGAGCTCTTCTAGCAAGGAAGAAGGAGTGGGCTTGGGGGAGGCAACTGATAACATCTGTGATAATCCATACAATTTTCATAGTTGTAGTCAGAACTTGAAAAACCACGCCAAACTTAATGGTCAGTAAAAATACCCATCAGTTGAATAATCTACAAACAGGTAGATAGAAAGGTAGAGGCAAGATTTCTTTTCACTTATGTGTTTAATGAGTTGAGTAATCCAGGACTAATGGTTCTATACTACACAGCACGAACATGATAGTTGTAGCCTAAGGAGTCTTCAAAACAGGAGTCATCAGTTGCTAACCTTGGCCACAGAAAAAATTAGTAATAACAAACCTGTGAAATAGCTCCTGTTAAGCAATGTGTCTTCCTGATGAACTTATCAGGATAAACTGGTTGTAACATATACTCCCTAGTATTTGAGCTGAATGCCTCATAGATATAAGTGCTTGTAAAATGAGAATTATACCTTCCTCCTAAGGTTAGTTTGTGAATTAAGTTAGGTAATATATGATCAAGCACTTAGGCCCAACACTTAGCTTAGCCCTGGAGCACACTAAGTCCTAAAACATTACCTATTATTATTCAGTTTGTCATCTCAGCATTACCTTTATCTCTACTCTTTCTGTCGCACTTAATCTCAACCGCCATATATACTTAGTTGTTAAATTCTATAGATTCTAATTTTTTGAAGTGACTCGAAATCATCCCCTCTTTCCCTCCACTGACATGTCTCTTGTCTGGGTCCTCATTTTCTTTCACATCTATTTCAGTAGCCACTTTCTTTCATTTATTCACCCATCAATTATTTTGTTCAACATACATCATACATCTACCATGTTCTAGGCACTGAGGGAGGTGCAGAGTGTAGAGTGGTGAACAAAACAGACGGGCCCTTGCCCTCCCTGAACTTCCATTGTATCGCGGGGCTGGTATTATGTCAAATGGTTCTAAGGATGAACCAGAGAGAAAATCCTTTGTACCTGCTTTTCTTTACCTCAGGTCTCACCTCCACCTCACACATAAGACTGATGATGTTACCATCTTGGAAACAGGAGTTTGGTTATATCGCCCCCTCCCTCAGAACCCTTCAATAGTTCCGGTTGCCTTTTGAATTAATACAAACTCTTCTGCCTACTCTTACAGTTGTAGAATCTCCAAAATATAATACTCTGCCATTTTCTGAGGTTTAATGGATTCCAGGTACATTATAAACATCTCTAATCCTAGCAACACTTCTCACTGTCAACCCCACTTCTGCTGTCACTTCTAATCCAAGTTGCATTAGACACCCTCCTTTGTGCTCTCCTCATATCTTGTGCACATTTCTATTATTGCCTTCCTCCCACCACAAAGACCCCTTCCCACCTCTTCTCCTCCAACTATATTGAGGCTTGTACCAGGAAAACCTCTTCCCTCCTTCATTCAACTCTGCCCTTTCTACCTAGGCAGCCACTTCACTGTGAGCCTATAAAAGGGTGCAGTAACTCTGAAGCCACCTGACCATCATTCTAAATATTAAGGACCATAACTTCTGAACCAATTTCCTACTGTCCTTAAGGAAACATAAGGATCAATTACATCAAATGTTGTATAAGTGTTGACTTCAGACACTTCAGAAATCTGAACACCCACTAATCTGACTCCCTGCTTCCCAAAGCTTTTTGCAGCAGGTTATTGACCTTCCTTTACGTGGTTCATAGCACTCTCTAGGGGAACAGCCCCCTCCCCCACCCCCAGCTGTAGAGACCCAGGGCACAGATCCTCACACAGCAGCCTGTGTGACTCTGAGTGGAGGTGATGGCGGCCCAGCACTGCACACCTGAACACCCCTGGGGAGGTGGCAGTGGCATAGAAGTGGCCCTACCCACACAACTGCAAGAAGACACGGTGGGAGCACCCAGCCCCTAGGGGTGCTTCGACTGACACCAACTCCACCAGCAGCAGGGGCTGCATGCAAGTCCCTGGGTCCCCAGGACCCCGCGAGTGACAGTGACACCCATGAACTCAGCACCCCTGGCAGCAGTGCAACCAGCACCCCCAGACAACTGGGGAATAGCAACAAAGGTACGCAGAACAAGAGCCTGCGAGCCCACAGGGATCCCGTGGAGGAACATGAGACCCAGGCAATCAGAACCAAAGTAACGAAAGCCATACCCAAGTCAGAGAAGGAGATTACTACCACAAATGCACTGGGAGTGGATCAGTTCATCAAACACCAAGAAGAACAGTAAGACTGCAGAACAGAAGGAAAATGACAACTCTCCAGAAAACAAACGTGAAGTCACAGAAGATTAAAATCAAACAGAGAATTCAAAATAGCTGTCATAAAGAAATTTAAGGAGTTACAAGAAAACTCAGAAAGATAGCTCAAGGGGCTCAGGAATAAAACTAATAAACAGAAGGGATACTTTACCAAAGAGATTGAAACACTAAAAAAAGTCCCAAAAAACAAATTCTGGACACGAAGAACACAATGAGATGAAAAATAATGTAGAAAGCATTAAAAACAGAGTAGACTTGGGGCCTGCCCTGTGGCTTAGTGGTTAAGTTCAGTGCACTCCACTTTGGCGGCCCAGGTCTGGTCCCTGGGCACAGACCTACACCACTTGTCAGTGGCCATGCTCTGTGGCAACTGACATACAAAATAGTGGAAGATCAGCACAGATGCACCACAGATTGGCACAGGGCAAATCTTCCTCAAGCGAAAAAGAAGAATGGCAACAGATGTTAGCTTAAGGTGAATCTTCCTCAGCAGAAAAAAAAACACAAAGATTAGACCTTATAGAGGAGAGAATATGTGAGCTTGAAGATAGAAACAGAAGTGAATCAGGTGGCGGAGAAGAGATAACTAAGAGTTTTAAAAAATGAAGAAATTCTTTGAGAAATATCTGACTCAATTAGGAAAAGTAATATAAGGATTATAGATAACCCAGAGTGAGAAGGGAGGTAGAAATGAGCAGAGCTTATTCAAAGAAATCATAGCTGAGAACTTCCCAAACCTGGGGAAAGAACTGGACATGCAAGTACATGAAGCTATAGAACTCCTAATTACATCAATCTAAGGAACATAATATTAAAACTTTCAAAAGTAAATGACAAAGAAAAATATTAAGAGCAGCAAGACAAAAGAAAATAACTTACAAAGGAACCCCCGTCAGTCTTTCAGTGTATTTCTCAGCAGAAATCTTACAGGCTAGGAGAGAGTGGAGTGATTTATTCAAAATACTGAAAGACGAAAACTATCAGCCAAGAATACCCTACGTGGTGAAATTATGCTTCAGATATGACAAAGAAATAAAAGCTTTACCAGACAAACCAAAGCTGAGGAAGTACCTCACCACTAGGCCTGCCCTACCTGAAACAAAAAGGCAAAGGTTTACAAAGGTTTGAGCAGGGAGATAAATAGAGAAAATCAGAGAATTGCAGCTCTGTATCAGAATAGTTCAGGAAACACTTAATTATAAAATAGAGGATAAAGGGAAAAACAGCATAAAAGATAACTATAAACACTTCAATTTGGTCACAAACTCACCACATAAACAATAAGTTGTGACAACAAAAGCCTAGAAGGAGAATAGGAAAGAGAGGGAAGTTGCGTAGGCTAATGGAGACTAGAGACTGTCAGAAAATGGACCATCTCATCTATGAGATCTTTTATACAAACCCCATGGTAACCACAAAACAAAAAATCAGAGAGGAGTCACAAATCATAAATGAAGAGAAAACTGAGAAAACCATCAGAGAAAACCACCAAACTGAAATGGCAGATAGGAATACAAGGCAAAAGAAACAATGGAAATATAGAACAACCAGAAAACAAAACATAAAATGGCAGTATTAAGCCCTCATATATCAATAATCACTTTAAATGTAAATGTATTGAACTCACCCATCAAAAGACACAGAGTGGCTTGATGGATTAAAAAACAAGACCCAATAATATGCTGCCTCCAAGAAACACATCTTAGTTCTAAAGACAAACATAGGATCAGTATGAAAGGATGGAAGATGATACTACAAGCAAATGTGAAACAAAAGAAAGCAGGTATTGCCATACTTAGACAAAGTAGACTTCAAGATAAAACAGGTAATAAGAGACAAAGAGTGGCAGTATATAATGATAAAAGGGACACTCCACCAAGAAGACATAACACCTATAAATATATATGTACCCAAGAAAGGAGCACCAAAGTACATAAAACAACTGTGAACAGATCTAACAGGAGATGTTAACAACAAGACAACAAAGTAGGAGATGTTAACATCCCACTTACATCAATGGATGGATCATCCAGAGAAAATCAACCAGGAAATAGTGGAATTAAATGAAAAATTAAATCAGATGGACCCAATAGATATATATATATATAGAACAATCCATCCCAAAACAGCAGAATACACATTCTTCTCAAGTTCACATAGAACATTCTGAAGGATAGACCATGTGTTAGGAAACAAGGCAAGCCTCAAAAAATCTAAGAAGACTGAAATTATATCAAGCATCTTCTCCAACCATAATGCTATGAAACTAGAAATCAACTACAAGAAAAAAACTAAGAAAGTGACAAATATGTGGAGAGTAAACAACATGCTGTTGAACAACCAACAGATCATTAAAGAAATTAAAGGAGAAGTAAAAAAATAGCTGGAGACAAATGAAAATGAAAATATACTACACCAACTCATATGGTATATATATACACAATGGAATACTACTTAGCCACAAAAAAAAGACAAAATCATCCCATTTGCAACAATGTGGATGGACCTTGAGGGTATTATGTTAAGTGACATAAGCCAGACAGAGAAAGACAAAGACTGTATGATTTCACTCATATGTGGAAGGTAAACTAACACATGGGCAATTGAACAGTTTAGGTTACCAGAGGGGGAGTGGGTTGGGGGCTGGGCACAAGGGGTGAAGGGGCACATATACATATACGGTGACTGACAAAAAATAATGTACAACTGAAATTTCGCAATGTTATAAACTATTATGACCTCAATAAAATAAAAAGAATAAATTTAAAATAAATTTAAAAATTTAAAAAATGAGCAGAGGCTATGAACAGACATTTTTCCAAAGAAGGGATACAGATGGCTATCAGGCACATGAAAAGATGTTCAACATCACTAATTATTAGGGAAATGCAAATCAAAAGTACAATGAGATGTCACCTTACACCTGTCAGAATGGCTATAATTAACAAGACAAGAAATAACAAACATTGGAGAGGATGTGGAGAAACGGAATCCTCATACACTGCTGGTGAGAATGCAAACTGGTCCAGCTGCTATGGAAAACAAGTATGGAGAGTTCTCAAAAATTAAAAATAGAAATACCATGTGATCCAGCTATCCTATTACTGGGTATTTATCCACAGAACATGAAATCAACAATTCAAAGTGATTTATGCATCTCTACGTTCATTGTAGCATTATTCACAATAGCCAAGATGTGGAAACAACCCAAGTACCTAAGAATGGGTATAGATGTGGTATACATACACATACAATGGAATAGCATTCAGCCATTAAAAAAAGACAAAATTTTGCCATTTAGGACAACATGGATGGACCTTGAGGCTATTATGCCAAGCAAAATAAGCCAGACAGAGAATGACAAACACGTATGATTTCACTCATATGTGGAAGACAAATAAACACATGGATAAGGAAAACAGATTAGTGGTTACTAGATCAGAAGGGGTGGGGGGAGGGTGAAAGGGGTAAAGGGGCACATATGTATGGTGACAAATGGAAACTAGACTTTTGGTGGTGAGCATGACGCAGTCTGCACAGAAACTGATATATAATAATGTACATCTGAAATGTACAAAACGGTATAAGGCAGTATGTCCTCAGTAAAATAATTTTTAAAAGTAAAAATAAATAAATATTAGTTGTACAATTAAATTCCATGTACATTTATCTTGGCAGGAAGGAAGTTTTTAATGTTTTAACTAAAGTTTTCTAAAGTCAAAGAATAACTGTAATTTTTCTCTTTGATTATTAAGACTGCTTTACACAATTTCAGCTTCCTTGGTCACTTAATAGTCCTGTTCTATCGGGCAGAGCTAGGGCTGTCTGTACTCTAGCTCCTCAGTTCCTTGACCAACTCACATTCAATGACCTCTTCCTCTAGCCCACTGTGGTCACTCCTTGGTTCACCCTGTAGGCCTTGTTATCATCAGTATCAGTATAACCTCTGAAATCTCGATTTTGGGCAGGTTATTCTTGTGCAATCATTTCCTGTCCTTCTGGTTAACCACCTGTAGACCCCTGAAGACGGCCACTCTTCAATCTAGTTGGAATCTCCAATTCATTCACCTTTTGCGCTAATAGCCCTCTTGCTTTCTTCCTTGTTCAGCTTAGATTTCATGGCCCATCATTATAATCACTGCCTTACAAACACACTCCAAATTCCTTCACCCCTCTTCCTCATCTGGGAAAAACCCTTCCTGCACAAACCCCATCATCTACTCTATCCTAGCCTGAATTCAAGTAGCTAAACTTGACTGAGAACATTGCAAAACCAGACTGACTGGTTTCACTTTAAATTCATGACCACAAGTCTCCAGGGGGCAGATTGCTTGGGATCCTAGAAACTTTGCTTTCCTACTCTTCACATCCCTCTCCTCCAACTTCCTATGTTCCTCTCTGCTCCTCCTCACTGTCAGCCGATGATCTCACTTCATATTTCATTACGGAAAGAAAAAGTATCACAGGAAAATCCTTCAAGTTTTTCATCACCAAATCTCTAAACCTACTTGCATCTGCAGCCACCTCTTTTCTGTCCAGTGAATGGATTATACTTCTTCCCATCAAAGGCTTATCCCAACCGGATGTTGCTTCCTTGCCTTCTTGAGGGCCGCCTCCGGGCAGCAAGCTCCTCTTCCTCCTGCACCATGATTTTCCCCCTTCTACTGAGTCATTCTTGTCAGCATGCAAACATGCTCTAGTGTCTCCCATTTTAAAAACAACCACCCACCTCTCCAGCTACCTCAGTCTTTCTCTATTACTCTTTATAATCAAACTTCTCTCTATTCTCTGGCTCCCATTCCCCGATTCCCATTTCTTCCTTATCGACTTCAATCTAGCTTCTGAAACTGCCACTCCACTGAAACAGCTTCAAACAATTAAGATTGCTAATTACCCCCAAACTGCTAAATACAAGGGACCTGTCTCTGTCTTCCTCACACTCAACTTCTCAATCAACACAGTTGACAGCTCCCTCTTTCTGAAACTCTCTATCCACTCAGCTTACAATACTTGACACTTAATTTTCTTCCTTTTCCTCTTCTTATTTCCATGACTGTCTCTGGACTTCTTGGTCTTGCGTCTTTTTCTTACCTTTATCTACATATTCTAAGTGGTCTCATGTAGTTTTACGGCTTTTTCTCTTCACCACTGTATTGCCAGTGCCTAACTCAGGGTCTAACTTAATGAACAATAAGATAGTATTTGATGAATGAATGAATAAATGATTCCTTGTATTTCTCTCACCCAACAGTTCTTAGTTCATAGTTGGTTTCCATAAACTATTTGTGAAATAATTGAATGGACATTACTGTTGTTAAAAAACAAAATTCCGCTGAGTAAATTTGAAGATCTAATTGGCTTTATTAGGTGATTCATGAATCTGGCATCATCCCATCTAGCACCTGGAAGGCACTGTGAGTTGTACGAAATGGACAGTTTTTATATTATAGGAAAAAGGGTGGGGCAAGGGAGCTATTCACAAAAGAAAAGAAAGGGTTATTTTTATGACAGGTCATCTCTTTTGGGGGGGAAGGGAACTGGCAAGGGTTTTATTACGCAGATTGCCTCTTCTTCCTCTGGGGGAGGGCATGGAGAGGGCCCAGGTGCCAGATGAAGTCATTGGTGCTGAGCAGAAAATTCCACACTGGTCGATGAAGATGACATTTCTAGGTTTGTGTCATGGTCTTTAGCACAAGTGACACTGTGTGGGGCCTGTGGTTTTCTTTTGAACATTCTCATCCTACAAATGAGGAATTGGAGGGTCAGAGAGATTGAATAATTTACCCCTGGTCACACAGCTAATAAGTGGCATAGCTAGTATTCAAAACAAAGTCTTAACTCCCAATCTTTGTTCTCACCATTCCATTATACTGCCTCTCTCTCTATTTCATCCCTAACCCCTAGAATCTGCTTTCATTTACCCTATTCTCAGGCCAAACCAGAATGATTTTTGTACCTCAACACACCTCCCATTTTCCCACCTCTCAGTCTTTTTCGGACTTGAAACCCTATTTCCACTTCCAATTGTACATTTATCTGTAGTTGTCCTACTAGTCTCTTCTTGCTTTTCAAATTCTTTGTCAACCTTAAAATCTTAAATTTTCTAGTTGCAAGTGAATGTTCTCCCGCCAAAACAATCAAGTACACTTGTATATTTGTACCCTATTCTTTCAATGTTGAAACTGCCTACAGGCAGGAAGTGTAATCCACATGGTGCCTCCTAAATATCCTGCCTTCTTGCATGTTGAAAGGCTGAAGTCTCTGTTGAGTTGTAGTGAAGAGTTTTAAATTTGTATTTGACCTACAGACAGAATTCCCAAGGGAGATGAGTAGAACCAAATAACTGAAAAAATATATATATTTAACCTTAAACTCTATCCAGAGAATCTGTTGGAGGGCCCTGATCTGTTAGGAAAATTTGGGGCAAAAATGTCGATTCTTCTTGGTGGGTTCAGATGGGCCATTTCTTCAGTACTCTTGCTAGGGAAATGGGCAGCTAGTCTGATTGAGGTTGTGAGAGAAAGCAAACTGGGAGCAGTTTGGAAGTCTCAAGTTGTTGGTGATGCCGCCACTAATCTGACACCAGTGGGAAAGTCAGGAAAGGGTGGGCTGGGAGAGTCAAAGCAGGTCATTTGTATTACTGTGATGAGCTAGAAATCCCTGTATTTGATCTTTCCAAACCTTTGTCTGATGAGTGTAAGCAAAAAGAATGAATGAAAAGGAAGCCACGGTGTACACTAAATCCAAGAACATTATCTATTGCCTGAAACAAGTCATCGACACTCTCAGATAAGGTGTCTGCTGAGAGGTCAACTTTGACAAATTTCCAGCATCCTTGTCGTCTCATTACAGCCATCTGCCATGTGTTCTTTTAACGTTCAGTTCCTAACTTTTAAAAAAAAATTCTTGATGAAGTCCTAGAAGGGACTAGGTGAAGCCTAAGAACTAGGATTAATAATAACACAGCTCGTATTTTCTTGGTGGCTTTTGTGGGCCTACCATTGTACTATGCCCTTCACAATAATCCTGGAGACTTAGGATTTCTCCCCGCTTTACAGGTGAGAAAAGAGGTAACTGATTTGCCAAGGCTGTGCGGAGTCAGAATCCGTATGGTCCCCAAGTGTCCTGCGGCCACTGCCACGTGTCTTTCAGCCCCGGGAAGGCTTCCACGCAGCCTCCTCACACCTCTCCTCCTCCCCCCGCGCTCACTCTCTCACTGTCTTTGGTGGAAGCTGCTGCGTCAATTACATTCCGACACACAGAATCCTAAACATGCAAGTTGCATTTCAGCTACTTTTACATTTTAAGATTTCGGCACGCACTGAGGCGGATGTGGATAAACTTTGCAAATGACAGCCGCTGAGGGTGTCTCTGGAAGGTACTCGTCCCAAGGCAGGTGGTTCAGGAGCTCCAGGGGGCGGGAGGCCGCGAGCTGAGAACAAAGGCGGGCGAGGGGCGGCGACTGAGGACCTGGAGCGCGAGGAAACGGGCCAGGGCCCTCAAGACCCGCAGCGACACAGCCACCGGGGGTGGGGGGGACCCCCAGGAGGAGTGGGCGGAGGAGGAGAAGAACCCCCCCCGGGAAGAGACCCCCCGAGAGGGAGGGGGCGGAGGAGGAGACGCCCCCAGGAGGGAGGGGGCGGAGGAGGGGACCCTCTGGAAGGAAGGGAGCCCCGGGAGGCAGGGGCGGGGGTGCGGACCCTCAGGAGGGCGAGGGCGGAGAGAGGGACCCCCGGAGGGGCGGGGCGGGGCGGGCACCGCGGGGCGCGGTGGGAGGAGAGGCTGACGTGCGGAGGGCCGGGCCGGGGGCGCGGGGAGGGGGCGGCGGCTGCGGGCCGGGGCGGGGCTGGGGGCCGAGGGGAGCGGCGGGAGGTGGGGCCGCGGAGGGAGCGCGCCGGGCGCGGCGGCGGGGATCGCGCGGGGCTGGGGAGCGGCCGGCGGGCGCGGCCGAGGGCGGCGGGCAGCAGGGCCGAGGGCGCGGATCGCGGCGGGCGGCGGGCGCGGGGGCCGGGCGGGCGCGGAGGGCCGAGCGGGGACCGGGGGCGGGCGCGCCGAGCCGCCCGCGTGCTGCTTCCGCCCGGGGCGGCGCGAGGCGGCGCGCTGGCGGCGGCCATGGCGGTGGCGGCGGCGCTGGCGGGCCGCGGGGCGCGCGGAGGCAGGGGCCGGCCCCGGGCGGCGGGCGGGCGGAGGGGCGGGGCCCGGGCGGCGGGCGGCCCGCGCGGCGGCTGCGGCGGCGGCGGCGGCGGCGGCGGCCGGGACGAGGCGGCGGCGGCGGCGGAGGCGGCGGCGCGGGGCGCTCGGGCTGATGGCGGCGGCGGCCGGCCCCGGGACGGCGCTGTCCCCGCGGCCGTGCGACAGCGACCCGGCCACCCCCGGCGCGCAGTCCCCGAAGGTGAGGCGGCGCCGCTCGGCGGGCCGGGGCGCGGGCGGGGGCGCGCCGTGAGGACGCGCGCCGGCGGCCCCGGGGCGAGGCCGAGGGCCCGGGTCAGCGCCGCCGTGCGCCCGCGTCCGGGGCCCGAGCGCGAAGGAAGCAGCCACTTCCCGGGAGGGAGCGTCCGTCCTAGGTCCTCCTCGGCCGAGGGCCGGTGTGGCCGCCGCGGGGAGAGCCGAGCTCCCCCGGGAGGAGCGGGGCCGGCGGCCCGAGCCTCGTTCCCGCGCAGCCACCCCGCAGCCCTGCCCAACTGTAGCCAAACTTTAGGGAAACTGCGGGGCTGCGGGCTTCGGACGGCGGCGAGGACGGGGGTCCCCGAGGCCGAGCGGCGCCGGCAGGGCTGGCTTGGGGCAGCCTCCGGGCGCGCACTGGCCCCGAGCTCGGGCAGGGGCGGGAGAGAGACCCTGCGGCTCCGGCCGCGAGTGTGGACTGGCCCAGCCACCGGGTGAGCCTCGGCGCCTCTGCGTGCCCGGGGCCGGAGGCGGACGGCGGGCGCACCTGTGCCTCGGGTTCGGCCACCGGCCGGTCCTAACACACGCTTCGGTCTCAGTGCCGCGGCCCCGGGCGAACTCTGTGAACCTAGTGTGTCCCTTCGTATGTTAGGGGAGATCGCCGGGAAACGGTCAGCCGCCAGTGTTCACTTTATGCAATAACGCATTTACCTAGAATTTGTAGCGCCCAGTTCTAAACGGTACAGGTCAAACTGTAGTTTCAGCTTTTTTAAGGACTTTTAACTTTCTGTCCCTTTTTGAGTGTCGGTTTTTTTGCCAAGGGAAATGTACTTAAACAAATCGATCTAGAAATCCTTACAATGCTCAGAAGGAGGTAAAATAGAAGCAAATGACGCTTGAATGCTTAGAAGGCGTTATGCCTGAAGTATGGGATATGAGATGTTTCACTTGTGATACTTACGGTTAAATGTAAATTTCGGGGGAATAGATTTAGAGTGCTCTCCATCTCCTACCTAGTTGCTTGTCTCAACAGGAATAGACAGAGCTCTTTAATTGAACGCTTATTTTATAAGAACTGAGAAGGGAATATTCTGTATATTTTACTGTTTGGGAAAGAAACAGTAAATTCCTAACAGCTGGAGCCATTGGAAACTTTCTAAGTGTCATCATAATCATACTAACTTTTATTGGGCCTTTAATTGTTTGCTAGGCCTTGCTCTAAGTCCTTCCCATTTATTAACTCATTTAATCCTTGCATTAGCTAAGTATTATGGACACTATTAACGTTTCAGTTTTACAGATAGGGAGCAGCTCACAGAGGATAACCACCCGGCTAGTGAAGGGTAGTGCCCAGTAAGAACCTAGGCCGTACAGCTGTGGCATGCCTGACCAATATACCTTACTGTCTCTTTATATTATTCTGGAGGATTGCTTTCCTTTTAATGTGTAGCGAGAGGACTGTGGTATTTAGCAAAATTGTATTAATCTTAGAAAGCTACATTACCTTGACTTGAAAAAAAAATCTGTTTTTTTTAGGCCTTATATTCGTTAAGCCTTATCTAATTATTATGTGAATAAATCAGTTTCGTAACATATGATACCTCATTCGTTTCCTGAATATTATTGTCATATAATGGATAATGTCACTTAAAAAAATTCTGAGCCTCTTATTTAAGAGGAAGGTGTGTATTGCTTATTAGGATATATATTTTTGCTAAATTTTTGCAATGTAAGGAAAAGAAATTAACAGGATTGGTAAGCTGTTCGTAGTTCTTGTGTGACCTCTTTTTACAAGGATATACGTATCTAAGGTAGCCAATTAGAATAGTCCTATAAAGCAGCTCTAAGTTGCCTTAAACACTAAATGGTCCACACTTCCCCCAGCTGAGGTAGGAGGGTTGGCTTTAAGTTTATAGAGGGTTTCAGCAGTTCAGTGTGTTTATTTAAAGAGGAAGGCATTTTAACTTTAGTTAGTAAGAAATCAAAAGTAGATTTAGATTTACAGGTTAATTGAAAATTTTCTTATTTTGATTGTATTGAAGATCAGTTTTCAGTTATTTCCAGGTCTTGCCCATGCCAAATTCTTGTCCCATTTTAATTGTAATAGAAAGTTAACAGTTGCATAATCAGTTGTCCTTAGAAAGCCTTTAAGTTGAGCTTGTTAGCAAGTCTGGGAAGATACATAATCATTCTTTTCATATGTATGATTCTTTTATTTTTTGACTCTTTTAAATGTGTAGGATGACAATGAAGATAATTCAAATGATGGAACCCAGCCATCCAAAAGGAGGCGAATGGGCTCAGGAGATAGCTCTAGGAGTTGTGAAACTTCAAGTCAAGACCTTGGGTACTGTTATTTTATTGCTTAATAATGTTTTTTGTGGTATGTTTCTCTTCTCTGCATTAGCTTCCTCCTCCCCTCCCCCTAGCCCTGGCCAAGGCAGTTATTGAAAATTGTAGAATATTTTTGTCTTGTGTTACAGTGTGACACCAAAGTTGCTTTTGTTACTCAGTGCCATTAAAAAAATTTTACACATGAAATTCACCAATTTAACTATTTTTAAGTGTGTAATTCAGTGGCATTAATTACATTCACAGTGCTGTGTAGCCATTACCACTATCCATTTCCAAAACTTTGTCACGACTGCGAACAGAAACTCCATAACCATTAAGGAATAAAAATTCCCATTTTCCCCCTTTCCCAGCCCCTGGCAACCACCATGCTACTTTCTGTCATGAATTTGCCTATTCTAGGTACCTCTCATAAGTGGAATTGTATAATACTCGTCCTTTTGTGTCTTGCTTGTTTCAGCTAGCATAATTTCTTCAAAGTTCATCCGTGTTGTAACATGTATTAGAATTGCTTTCCTCTTCAAGGCTGACCTAATACTCCATTTTATGGCACGATTTGTTTCTCCATTCATCTGTTGATGGGCACTTGGGTTGTTTGCACCTTTTGGCTGTTGTGAATAATGCTGCTATGAACATTGGTGCATAAATACCTATTCAGAGTCTTTTCACTTCCTTTGAAAAGAAAAAGAAGTGAAATAGCTAGATCATATGGTAATTCTATATTTAGCTTTTTGAGGAACAGCCAAACTTTTGTACAGTGGATGCTCCATTTTATATCCCCACCAGCAATGCACCAAGTTTCCAGTTTTTTCATATCCTTACCAATTTGTTATTTTCCATTGTTTGTTTTTTTTTTTGATGATAGCCATTCTAAACAAAAAGTGTGAAATATGAATAATGACTAGTGATGTTGAACATTTTTTCATGTGCTTATTGGCCATTTGTATATCTTTTTTGGAGAAATATCTATTCAAGTTTTTTGCCCATTTTTATGGGTTGGTTTTTTGTTGTTGAGTTGTAGAAATTCTTTGTATATTCTAGATATTAATCCCGTATCAGATCTATGATTTTCAAATATTTTCTCTTATTCTGTGGATTGTTGTTTCACTCTGTTGATAGTGTCCTTTATGCACAAAATTTTTGGTTTTGCTGAAGTCCAAATTGTGTATTTTTTTTGTTGTCGCCCATCTTGCTTTTAGTGTCATATCTAGAATTCATTGCCAAATCTGATATCATGAAAATTCACCCCTATGTTTTCTAAGAGTTTTCTAGTTTTAGCTCTTATGTTTATGTCTTTGATCCATTTTGAGTTAATTTTGGAATATGAAATAAGGTAAGAGTCCTCTTACCTTATTTCATTAGTGTTTGGATATCCAATTTCCCAGCACGATTTTTGAGAGAACTGTTCTTTTTGTCATTACTTTTAATTGGGTACATGCATAAAATAGTGCCACATTTCTGCCTCTTTTGTCCGTTGATGAAATTTAGAGGTTGAATTGGCCTGGGTCCAGAAATCTGTACTCTCTGCTACTCAGTATTCGGATTGATCTGCAGTGCACCGGCACCATCAAACTAAGTCCATTCTTTGCTTTTGGGTTTGTGGAGTCTATGAGAACAAATAATTATGGTTTATAGTTCAATTCATTGAGAAATAGGTTTTTAGAGTTCTGTTTTCACAGCTGTTTGAGACACACTGCACAGCAGATGGGGACCAGAAGTTCATCACTTTACACCTTGGGCACATGGAGTAGTGGCTATGGGTGTTAAGCCCAAGCAATAGAATTCAGAACTGATATTACCGCTCTGTTTTGGCCTTACAGATCTCTTAAGCTAAAAAATGCCTTTGTTCCTAACAATTGTGAGTCTTTGTTTTTTGTGGTCTATATAAAATGTTATTTCTGTTGAACTTTTTTGTTTTGGTATTCCAGATGGTGGTTTCTTTTTCTTCTACCTGTTTTATAATTTTCTTTGATAACTCATGAAATCATGGGACCTTTTTCGTATTGCAAAGTCATAGAAGAGTGACTGAGAATTTAAATAAAGTACTTTTTCCAAATTCTTAAAAATAAATATTCTCAAAAAAAATCCTTAACAATAAAAGTGATTAAAATTTAAGAAAAGCCACATTTAAGGCATAATATATATTTCTGTGCTTAGCTTTAGCTACTATCCAGCAGAAAATTTGATAGAGTACAAATGGCCACCTGATGAAACAGGAGAATACTATATGCTTCAAGAACAAGTCAGTGAATATTTGGGTGTGACCTCCTTTAAACGGAAATATCCAGGTATTAAGTCTTAGTTTGTGTAACAGACTAAATCTAACTTTTAACTAATAGTATTTCTTTTTTGATAGATTGTCACCTTCTGAATATTTGAGTATGGATTATTTATAATATATTTTGTGTCCGTCTGCCGGCTGATTTTCATTTACTGATATCATCCAATATCTCCCTCTACTGCCAATTTGTTCTTTCACCTTGTAAACTTATTTAGAAGCAAAATGAGGAAGATGAAAGTCCTGGGGAAAATTTTAGGAAAAATCATTTTCAGTCCACATGAACCAGTGTTGATTCTTTAGCGGTGTTCCTTGACCTTAGGAATAGAGTAGCTTTGTAAGCTGTGTCTGAATCTGAGAAAGGCCGTACTTCATCAGCCACTGTGGGACAGTTATTTATGTTACCCTCTTGCTGTGGATTATTCTGTTTTCAATTTTATTTTAACTTTTATTTCTTGAATTTGTAAGATTTTTTGTGTAGTCTCTTTAATAATATTTGGAATACGTAGCGAGAAGTACTTTTGTAAATCCATAAAGATTTTAACTTTCTAAAAATTTTAAAAAGTTTTTTAAGCCTTTGAAAGTTTTACAAATGCCTAATATTACAAATGCAAAAGACTATTTTTAATAGTCTTTTATTCTTTTTTTTGGAGATTTAGAGCGACGAGATTTGTCTCATAAGGAGAAACTGTACCTGAGGGAGCTAAACGTCATCACCGAAACTCAGTGCACTCTGGGTAATTAATTCTTTGAATGTGAACTTGGAAAGCTGAACATTTATGGGGTGATGCTCGATGAGTATTTTGTCTCCTTTTCACAAAATTAATGAAATAGACTGAATTATTTAAATACTAAATTGTTTACTTCATTTTTGATAGTTTAAATGCAAAGGAGAATGATATATTTTATAGCAATATCATTTTCTAATGGCTTTCACAGAAGTGTCAAAGTGTGTGTTTTTTGTGCAAAATTTGTACAGTACTTTTTAAAAGTATTGATCCTTATCTCTTAAAAGGCGTGTTTTGCTCAATTTTTAGTTCTGTATGATTGTCTCTGTGCTTTATTTGTAATTTTCCTTTCATAAACATTTTAATGCAACATGGTTACTTTTTAATACAAAACCATGGGAGTTCATTCATCTCGGCAATTGATACAATCTGATAACTATCAGTTTTGAAAATTACCTATATGACGTGTGTGTATGTGTGTGATGCTTTTGGTGAAATTGGAATCCCCGCTGTAGTATTTCTAGGGTCCTGAATTTGAAGACTAAGAGCTACCGCATATTGAAGAAGTCTGTTTTTCTCATCGAGTATCCTGTGTTAATTGCCAGTAGTTAACCTGCATCATTGTTTACAGTTGTTTCTAATAAAGGGATATATGTTTATAGTACATAGAATCTTAAAAAAATACATTTGATTGAAAAATTTATTTCTTTCCTTTTGTAACTTTGGTAATTTATTTCTTTGTAATTGTTTGCCTTTATGACTATTTTTTTATTGTTTTCGAGTGTATTAAAATATTTTGCTTTGGCTATTGGAAAATCTTTTAAATATATAGAGTAGTTTGAAGAAAAAGCAAATTTTGAGAAGTGATTTTATTCACTTATCCTTAAAGTAGCCTCTTTACCTTTTTTTTTGGTCTAAAATAGGTTTAACAGCACTGCGCAGCGATGAAGTGATCGATTTAATGATAAAGGAATATCCAGCCAAACATGCTGAGTATTCTGTTATTCTGCAAGAAAAAGAACGTCAGCGAATTACAGATCATTATAAAGAGTATTCTGTAAGTATTGAGCTGACTGGCAACTTTTATTTGGTTTGGGGAGAATGACATTTTGTAAGGTTACCTGTGACTTCCAACTCTAGTATTTTTATTTCAGCAAATGCAGCAACAGAATACGCAGAAGGTCGAAGCCAGCAAAGTGCCTGAGTACATTAAGAAAGCTGCCAAAAAAGCAGCCGAGTTTAACAGCAACCTGAACCGGGAGCGGATGGAAGAAAGAAGAGCTTATTTTGACCTTCAGACTCACGTAGGACGGCTTAAATTTATTAGTCCCTGACGCTCCCTTACTGCAGAGTTCTCGATGCCTCCTTTGTTGTTGTTGCTGTTCGTACCAGCAACGTGTACTTTTCTTCCCTAGAACTTAAAATATCACTTTTAATGTTGTGCCTGATAATACTCAATTCGCGTGTGTGTATGAGTTTGTCTTCTGCTTTGTGGTTGATGTTCTACTGAATGAGACTGATAGCTGCATAGTGTACTTGCCGTGTCTCTCAAGGGCTGTTGTAAGAGATTTCCATGTTCATTCATTCACTTCTCACAGTTACCGTCTGGGGTTGAAACTAGTGTTAGTTCCGTTTCATAGATGAGGAAGTTGGCTTCAGAGGTTTTATAAGTTGCTCAGGTCACGTGGCTCTTAAGTGGTGAGCAGACACACTGCCTTTCCTCAGAGACGAGGACCTTGGTAAAGAGCCAGACAGAACTCGCTTGTGGACCTACACACACCACCGTCCGCTGGGTTATAGCTGCTGACGTCTCTTGTATTTTTAGCTCTTTTGGGGAGGAGCACAGTGGACAACAAGAGGGATTATTTCCCCAAAACCTTGATTGCTAGCGTGGAATCAGTTTTGTATTTCTTTTCATCTTAACCCAGGTCATCCAGGTGCCTCAAGGGAAGTACAAAGTGTTACCGACAGAGCGAACCAAGGTCAGTTCTTACCCAGTGGCCCTCATCCCCGGACAGTTCCAGGAATATTACAAAAGGTATTCAGTGGTTGCATGTCCCGTCAGTATTGGCTGTTGGTGAGGGACTTCCGAGCCTTGGGTAGTTGGCTCCTAATAGTTCTTAGCTCTGTAAATATTACCATAAGGTGTTGGATAAGATTTGTGTCAATATTCTCTATCTTCTGTGATTCTGTGGCGGAGGGCACCCTCCTGCCAGAATCTGAACATCTGCTGGCTCGGCCTGGGCAGCCCGTCTCCCTGTGCGCCTGTCTCTGTTTCTGCGGACAGGTGCCAGGCTCTCCAGCACCTCACTCCTCGGAGTATGGTCCATGGCCCAGCAGCACTGGCCCCACTTGGAAGCTTGTTGGAAATGCAGGCTCTCAGGCACAACCCCGATGTGCTGAGTCAGAATCTGCATTTTCACAGGTGCCTGCCTGATTCATGTGCAGACACAGGTTTGGGGAGCACTGGCTTAGCCTGCAGAGGATATGCAGGGAGGAGCAGAGGGGCTCCCAGGTGGGCTTGGCCACCTGGTTCCTCCACTCACACCCTGCGCTGGCCTGGCTGCTGCTCCCACTCTGTGTAGCAGGAATGCTGTTAGCTCTTATTCTCAGCCTGGTCATAACTGAAAACAGGGCTAACAGGGTCATTTGGTTTCAAAATCTCAGCTTTTACTTCAGCGTTAAACCCTGCGTTAAGATAGAGAATATTCTTCAAAGAAGAGGATTTAAAATAGTGTACAGGATCATATTATTTGAAAGTCAAATTCAAGCCATGGGTCAGCAAATTTTCTTTTTTTTTATTTTGGGGTCAGCACATTATTGCAATGATGGGCAGTGTTCCAACTCCTTTGCTTTCTGGTGGCTGTCTTAGTTGAGGGAGGTGCAGACCCACTGTCCGCTCCTGAGCACAGGTGCAGAGGGCACTGCTGCCTGGGCGCTCCTGTGGGTGAGGACTGTGAACGTTGTCAGCTGGCTGTGTGCCATCTGACCTGGGGAAGGGGCTGCCAATCCCTGGTTTAGGATAATATAGATGATTAAATTTGCTAGAATACAGGCTTCATGAATTGGTTTAAAATAACTTATTACTGAAAATTTTGTTTCTTAAGTAATATCATGTACCATGCACTGCTGTGATTTATGTGTGTTAGTTTGTTGAATTCTCATGTCCGTTCTGTGAGGTTGACTCTTAGCATCATAGCATTTCACACGGGAGCGGTGCCAGCACACAACAAGCAGTGACAGCTGGGAGAGTAGGGCAGGTGGAGGTGATCAGGCAGCCTGGATTTTGTGCATGATTTTATATTGCCACAGTTTCACCCTTGTCTGCTGACTTGTTTTTTTCTTTTTTGGGTTGAGGGTAAAAGAGAAACATTATCTTTTTTGGGGGAGTGGTGAGGAAGATTGGCCCTGAGCTAACATCTGTTGCCAGTTTTCCTCTTTTTACTTGAGGATGGTTGTCCCTGAGCTAACATCTGTGCCAGTCTTCGTCTCTTTTATATGTGGGACGTGGCCACAGCATGGCTTGATGAGCGGTATGTAGGTCCGTGCCCAGGATCTGACCCTGCAAACCCCGGGCCACTGAAGCGGAGCATGCAAACTCAACCAGTATGCCACCAGGCCGGCCTCTATTATCTTTTGATAATATGAATCAACAGCATAGTGTACACTAAGTCTGGTGAAAAAAATGTTTAGGTTTTTTATTTATTACTTGTCCCTACTTGAACACCAAGATGAAAAATTATTTATTACTTCTAATCATTTTTCAGAAGTATTTGGAGTTAATTGAGAAGATCAAGGCTATCTTCATAGCTCAAAGATTAAGCCATTCCTATTTAGTAATAAAGGAAAGCTGAAATGGTCTTTCTGAACTTCAGGTACTCCCCGGATGAGCTGCGGTATCTGCCGTTGAACACGGCGCTGTACGAGCCCCCTCTGGACCCTGAGCTGCCTGCTCTAGATAGCGATGGCGACTCAGACGACGCTGAAGATGGTCGAGGTGACGAGAAACGGAAAAATAAAGGCACTTCGGTAAGAACGTCTCTGGTAGGAGGGCGCTCCTTTCCTTTGAAGCTTTGCTTGTTGCTTTCCTGGAGTGTCGCATTGAACTTGCATCACTGCCCCCTATGGAAAAGGGACAGTCGTGTGTAATTTTCAGAAAGGTTTCATCAAGAGAAGTTCGTTTTTTTTTCTTTCTGCTTTTTCTCCCCAAATCCCCCCAGTGCATAGTTGTGTATTTTAGTTGTGGGTCCTAGTTGTGAAGAGAAGCTCTCGATTGTGTGCGTGGATGCAGACAAGCCGTGCCTGGCCTCTGGCATGGTTGTTTTTAAAGGGGCTCCTTGTGATCACAAGCCGGTTAGGCAGGGGCACCAAACACCTTTATAGTCAACTCTCTTGATTCCGGAGAGCACACTAACTTGTACTCATATTGCTTAATTAGTAATCTTAGGCTTCCTCTAGGAAAATGTAAAGGTTACTAGTATGTTGTGCTATTAGTTAGGTTTTCCTGTATGACTTTTCTTTGTAACAAAATGCGATTGCTAGACAGTGGGGAAGTTGGTGTGCTCTCTAGAAGTGAAGGAGAACAAAAAACGAGATGGTTGAGGGTTCTCATTTTCTTAGCACTGCATGTTGAGCAACTGGTCCTGTCGAAACTTCTCACTGTAGCCAGCCTGAACCTGGGGACGCAGCCACTCCATGGGCAGCCCATTTCTTTGTCACCAACAGCTGCTAAGACATGTTTAATGATACATGGTGCATAAACTACAATGCCGTTGAAGTACTAATGTGATGATACCACTGACTCCTGGCATTGGTGAGAGGCGGGCTGTGGTGTGGTGAGGGTGTGATGGCATTGGGGTTCTCCCATGCTGCTAGTAGGAGTGTGAATTCATCCAGCATTTCAGGAAAGCATTTTGACAGTATATACCAAGAGTTTTCACTTCTGTAGAATTTGACCTAGCAAATACACTAGTGGAATTTATTTGAAGAACCTAGTCAGATGCTGACAAAGTTTAATTAGAAAAAACGTGCCTTGGAATATTAACAGTATTTTTTTTTTCTTTTGGTGAGGAAGATTGTGCCTGAGCTAACATCTGTGCCAATCTTGCTGTGTTTTGTATGTGGGATGCTGCCACAGCCTGGCTTGATAAGCAGTGTGTAGGTCCATGCCCAGGATCTGAACCTGTGAACCCTGGGCTGCTTAAGCAGAATGTGAACTTAAACACTACACCATTAGGCTGGCCCCATTAACAATATTTTGTGTGTGTGTGTGTGAGGAAGATTGGCTCTGAGCTAAATATCTGTTGCCAATTTTCCTCTTTTTGCTTGAGGAAGATTGTTGCTGAGCTAACATGTGTGCCAGTCTTCCTCTATTTTGTGTGGGGTGTTGCCACAGCATTTCTTGACCAGCAGTGCTAGATCTGCACCCAGGATCCAAACCTGCAAACCCTGGACCACCAAAGCAGAGCATGCGAGCTCAACTGCTACACCACTGGGCCGGCCCCGACAGTATTTTTTATAGTGGAAATTAGAAATAAACCTAACATCCACAATGAATGATATATTAAATTTACCTGATAGAAATGCAGTTCAAAGAATGTTTAATGGTGTGATAAAATGCACGTAACGCTTAAAAATATTGAAACACATGCACACACACACATAATCCAGTTTTGTGTTTTAGAAAGTGAGGGCGCGTGTCTAGATAGGCTCTGTATGTGGTGTGCGATGTGTGAGTCTGGTGTCTCTATGTGTGCAAACATGCATCTAGAAAAAAGAAAAAAGAGATCACGTTCATGTTCCAGTAGCTGACGCAGAATGTTTATCAGGGTGGTTATGGATAACCTTGTTTTTTCATTTATAATTTCCATAATTTATATAAGTATAACATTTTTATTCTAATTAGAAAATTTTAAAAAAGGAAGAATTAGAATATCAGATATCAAATTCCTAAACTTTGAACATCTAAACTATGTCAGATGCTGTTGTAAGTACTCTGCAGTATTGGCCCCTACGTAGTTGAACGTTATGAAAACACAAGCGTGTACTTGAAGAACTTCTTTAATGACCTTTATTGCTCAATGAAAATACCCACACTTGTTTAAAACAGTTTATTTTTTAAATAGTATTTTTGTATGGAACAAATATGTTCCCTTGCGACATGGCAAAATGATGTTGAAGCTGTGTGGTGTAATAATAGCTGAAGCAGATAATTCTGCTTCCATTGACTGAAGTCAGAAAACACAGTTGATGAAGGTACTTGCTGATAGAAATGGAGTTAGCTTTATCTTATAAGGTACTTACAAGATGGATAAATGATTTGTAACATGGCTTATTTTAGTCTCCACTGGAAAAAGTTTTCCTATACTTAGAATTATCTTTATTTTTAAATTGATGGACCTTTAAACCTTTCTTTGAATATTTTCTGTAGTTTTCAAAATTCAGACTCAGATTTCCGTGAATTCCAAGGAATCTCTGTTTGTGCCGTTGACCTGCAGGACAGCTCCTCTGGCAACGTGTCCGAGGGGGAAGGCCTTCCCGACAGCCAGGAGGAGCCTCTCCAGGGAAAACCGAGATCCAAGGACAAAGGTGCCGCCCCAAGAAAAGATGCTTCCAAGCGTTCTGTACTGTCCAAGTCAGTGCCTGGGTACAAGGTAGAAGAGAAAAGCCCCTGACTCAGCTTCCTTCCTGACCAGCTCTCTCCCTGAAATGTTTTAACTTTGAATTTCAAAGTGGTGGAGCTCCTGCCTGCTGCCCTTCGCTGGCTGTCCCTCTGTGGTGTGTGCCCTTTGTCAGCTTCTTTCTTTTTTGCTTTATCTTCCTGGTGGCTTTTCTGTCACTTTTGGCCATGGTTTAGCTTCTGTTTTCTGTATATGTACAAATTGTAAGAGAATCTTTTTTCTCTTCTTAATAGTAACCAGGCAAATAGGATTTTTTAAAAAATTATTTCACAGGCAGAACTTCATACTTTGTTTTGTCAGAGTAAAGGTCATAATTATCTGACATTTTAAATATCCTAGTATTTAGTATAGACATGCTGAGCTGTAAAGCATGGGTGGATATACTGTCACACTATGTTGCATTTTTGTAGTGCCTTTCATTAAGAAAGATATGGGTTTAATCTGAGAATTATTTGATCCATTTGCCAAATTCGGCTAACCCTGCAACAGAAAATAGTAAAATTTGTTATTTACATTGTGGCGATTTTTAGCTTAACCTTGGCACATAGCCCACACAATTCTATGATAAGATTTGTACATTATTTAGCGAGGTAATTTGGCTTAGATTTGTTAACTTTTTGATCTGGGAATTCTTAGAGTGAGATAGTATGTTATCAGGAATATTGGTATTTCTACTGTTTGCTCCTGCTGTCTGCCCTTTCCCCTTCGGAGGGTTAGGGGAGAGGTGAGTAGCCTTAGATATGGGGATTTAGGAATATCACATAAGGAGTGGAATTGGCGGCACATTTTGTGTTTTGGATGGTAGTAGTAAAATACACAGTTACTTTGGTCTGGAATGGGTCAGAATATGCTTTCTGTTGTGGTTGTGAAGGTGTTTTGAAGGAGCGTTTTAGAGTAAGGTGAAGAAGTTGTGCCAACTGGCGTTGTAAACGGCTTATTGGCCGTCAGAACTGGGGTTGCGGTAGGTCATCCAGGAGGACGGGGTCAGGTGAGCTGCTGCCAGCTTCCCTGGCAGCCTGACCAGAACCCTGGTCACGGTTCGTTTACCTTTCTTTTCCTGAAATAAAAAAGCGACTTAAGTTAGTGTATTCCGTATTTCATTAGAAAATGCCTTTATGTAATCAACTTAAAAATACATGTTTTTTCAGCCTATGGCAAGCGAATCTCAAGCTGCATTCAGCAAGTTAGCTTCAATAGGCTGCAGCCATGTGGTTTTTGTACTTGTTTTTACATATATAGCTTGTCTAATTTTTTAAACTAAAGATTTAAATTAATGCTTAATAATTCAAAGCAGATGAACTCCAAAGATTAAATTTTGGAAAGTTAACCTGGTGCGTCTGCTACACAGTGTGCTACAGGTCTGATAAGAGCTTCATAAGGGGGTGGCAGCTCAAAGCATACCATCAGTGTTAAGTAGACCTTTCAAACAATAAGCCTGGATTAATTATGGGTTAAAAAAAAGAATATTGAAATAAGTGTTTTAATCGAGGCTGAAAATGAAGAAGCATTCAATACTATGATTGATTTATTGTAGAAGAAATCATATAGATTAACCTAAATTGATAGTACTCAAAGGAGTGTAATATGCAAAATAAGCATTTTGTAATCTTCTGTGAACATTTTTAGTACCTAAAAATGTTTCAGGTATTTCAAAGTTTGGAACAACCAGTATCTAGACTTAACACATTAATGTGAACATGTTTATTAAAAGTTAACCTCTCTGTGAAAAGTATTAATAAGCCAAGATGTGCCTAAGTATTAGGGTACTTCAACCTGAAGGCGTGTGTAGAAATGTGTTTTAAAGTATGGGAGTTAAGAAAAATGGCAATGTGTCTGATGACTTGCTTGATAAGAATCACTAGTCTTGCCCTTGATTTGTAGGACAGTATTGTTTAGGTTACATTAACCTGAAATTAAAGCATAATTGTTAGGATTCAGGCCTATATTACAAGTATGTCATTAAATTTTATAGTATATTAGTGCTACCATATCACTTATCTTTGGTTATTTTTCAAGCAGGAAAATAAGTATATTATGAGCCTTTTATTTGAGATACTGAGAACTATTAGAATGAGTATTTTAATTGTCTTGTCAATAGTGAAACTCTGATGTTGTTGCAGTTATGCGAAGTAAAACTGACTGTCCCTGTCAGACATACATAGGGTTCCGTTGCATTAATCTTCAGGAGAGTTCTGCACACTGTTCCCTTCTTCCTCCGTCGAGTGTGCAGTGCACTGAGAGACTGGCTTCCCAGCGCAGTTATCTGCTCTGTAGAGTGCTGGCGTGAGCGCTGTGGCTTCCTAGTGAGTCCAGAGTGCGTGAATGAACACAGCGTTTGGTATGGAGCTGTGGCCTCCTCCTAGAGAATGCTACAAAGCTCTGTCTCTGTCTCTCTCTCTCCCTTCTCCACCCCTGTCTCTCCCTCTTTTCATCAAGATGAAGACTGTTGGGTAAGAAAAATTTTAAGTGGTTTAACCAAACATGATTTTAAGTTTAGAAGTAAATCTGGAATTTTCTTGGTGTCCTTTTAATCATAGGTGTTTAATGTATATTTTAATGATTGTAGAACTTGAACTGCTCTAGAATGTGAATGACTAGCCCTGTGTTTTATTCCTTTTGACTTTTGTAAAGGATCTCCTATAAGGAGTTCTTTTTTTAGAATTTAATATTGTGTGGTTACTTCCTTGACTTTAGTGAAAGATACTAGAGTACTTAGTATGCCAGTATCTAACTTAAACTACAATATTAGATAAGTATATCTTTTACATTCAGTACAGGTACTATAACCAAAAGATATTTCTTATTTGATGGATGGCGAGGTTGCTTTTTGCTGTATATTATGGCAGTTACAGATTTGATCGTATCTGAACCAGAATTTGGATCATGAAAGTGCACTTGCTAGCCATTTTTTATTTAGGTATAGGAAAACACAATGAGAACCTTATGCTTAGAATGTAGCAGGAACAAGAGGGTAACGCACTGCAAGACTTAAAAGGTTTGAGCATGTGACACTATCCTTTTGTGGGGGAGCAGGGTAGAAAGGTATACATACGTACAGGAGATGTAGAATAGCTCACAGTACAGTTTTATATGTATGTTTTAACTTCTATGATATTTATTATTTTGTAGAGACATTTGTGATTGTTTAGAGTAATTGTTTTTATTATATTTATGTATAAGGTTGACTTTTTTAAATAAATAAGCCAAAAATTCTTTTTGAATGCCTCTGTCATCTTTTGCAAAGAAAGATAATTTAAAGAATAAAAAACTTAAAGAATTAAGAACGACTTGTTTAGACTAACAGGTTTGGAAGGTGGCAGTGAGACCGTTCAGAGCCGGAAGGCCGTAGACAAAGTTGGAGTTTCCTTTATGCTCCTCTTTGGTTCAGTAACTTAGGAAAAAGAAATCTAAGATGCATTTGGCTGGGTTGGAATAAAACAGAAATATAATCTATTTAAAATAATTTTTCTCCCAGTTCATATATAAATATGTCCCCAGCCCCCATTTCATACTTGGCCCATGCTTGCTCTCCTTTTTCTCCCACTGACCTTATGTATTCATACAGTGGGAGTGAGCATCGCATCGTCATGGTCAAGCCTGTGGTGTTGGAGTGCTCTCCCCCCAGTGATTGCAGGTGCACTGAACCTTTCCTTCTTTGTCCTTTTCCAAGTGTTGCCAAGTGTGTTTAAAGCTAAATGCCTTCATTGGATTAAGCGTGTTTTTAGTCTGGAAAATGAATAGTACTCAAAATGTAAGAGTGTTTGTGTATTTATTGAGTGATAATTTTTTTTGCTTGTCTGAAAAATTTTTTATGTTTTGTATCTCATACTGAATGCATTTTCCCATGTAGGCTCTGTTATTAATTTATTAGATACGCAAAGGGATTCATCACACAGCTCGGTTTTCCACACACATTTATGCATGACAGTGTATGCATGAGACATCTTTCAACTAAACATGTGAAAACATTGATTTTGTAACTTAGATTTTATAGATCTAGTTTTACAACTTTGGAAAGTGTCAGTTTTTAAACAAAATCACTATATAAGCTGCTTAAAACTGAGTCTTTTTTTAATAGTAAGCTAACTTACATGCAATAGTCATTTGTCCGTAGCTTTTGTCTTCCAATTAATAGCGCAGTTTGACATTGTATTTAGTCTTCCCTTCCGGTTCATTATGGAGATCTTACTGTGCATGTGGGGAGTGTAGAATTCGACATTTAATCCTGACATGAGACCATGCAGTTGAGAAAATTTAAAGTCAAATGTAAGGCTTTAGTCAGTAGGCCATTATGTGTTGAAAGCAGACTCATGTCAAGTTATGTCTTTCAAAAAGGTCCTCCTTAGCAAGTTACCAAAAGTAAAGATAAGGCATATACAGTAACAGAATTCCTTTTGAACCCATAGTAAGTTCTTCTGGCATGAATTTATAGCCCTCTTCTACCTTCCAGCCAAAGGTCATTCCAAATGCTCTATGTGGAATTTGTCTCAAGGGTAAGGAGACCAACAAGAAAGGGAAGGCTGAGTCACTTATCCACTGCTCCCAGTGTGATAACAGTGGTAAGTATCGGCATATGTTCTTAACGTTTAACCACTGTCTGTGTTAAAAAATCCAAAAACTAGGGTTTTTAGTTGTCAGATAGACTTGAACCAAAGAATCATCAGGTATATGGGGTAACTTGTAAGGCATAGACAACCTCGATGTATTTTCTTCTACCATGTATTTTCAGTTCTCTTTGGCTATTAAACATTGTATCCCTTCTTGAGAAATCCCAAAACAAACTAGCTTTTTATTATGCCATATTAAGTTACAAATTCTTGTGTGAAATTCTACTAATATTGGTTTTGGTTTAGGCCATCCTTCTTGCCTGGATATGACCATGGAGCTTGTTTCTATGATTAAGACCTACCCATGGCAATGTATGGAATGTAAAACTTGCATTATATGTGGACAACCCCACCATGAAGAAGAAATGATGTTCTGTGATGTGTGTGACAGAGGTTATCATACTTTTTGTGTGGGCCTTGGTGCTATTCCATCAGGTAAAGGTGAAAAAAGGACCATTATCTTTGAGTGAATGGACTCTCCCAGCATTGTTATACAGGCTGCATCAACACCATAATGACATGAAGGACCTGTAGACCCTTCTGTTCACAAGACAAGACCAACGCTGTGATTACCTAGATCATGTCCACCTGCTTTTCATCCCTAGACACCCCAACTCAAGGACACATGAGATGTCAGAGCACCTAGTCTAAGTTTTGGAAATAGAGCTCAATGTACAGAATGAGCCAGTGTTTTCCCAATGAAATAGCTAAAGCAACAGCATCAATTTGTTTCAAAGCCTTGATTTTATTTTTGTCATCTATTTAGAAACTTAACAAAATGACTGTTATGCCTTTATACATATTAAACCAGATTTCTATAAATCGAGGCAGCTTGCAAATTCCAGAGAACTTTAGAATGAACACAGGATCGAAGAATAAATCACAGTAATCTAAAACATTACACACATAATTGTGTAATTTGAGAACTTATTTGCATAGTTAATACTGTATAATACTTTATATAAAGTATATGCCTGGAACTAAGTTTCCTGGGAATCGTTAAGAAGCAAGCAACTTAAGTTCTGTAGTAATTCAGATCAAGTACGTAGTGCAGATTATCAGTGTGCTGTCAGATACTCGTAAGTTTTAAAGTGCTGTGTCGGCATAGTACGCCAGAACCTGCGAGGATGCTGTTAGATACACAGCTGCCTGTGAGCAGCGGAGAGAAAGGCTGAAAATAAACCAAACTCAAGAACAGGTTTTATATTTGGATTTGTACTGAACTTAAGTGTGACAGTGTTTGAATTTCAGAAAGAATTATCGTGATGTTTTGAAGGTCCCTTTTATCACATTGCTTCTCCCACCATGTCTCCCTCCACCACTTATACTCAATTTCACATGGGGTTGATTACCCTGATCATCTGAAGGGAAGTTTACATTTTTCTCCTGATTTTAAGGAGCTCATTAGTGCCCTTCCCACCACAAATCCACAGAGGACTATCATTAGTGATAACTAAGAAAGGAGAGCTAAATGGGTTTAAAATTCAGTGCTACAAAATTAAATTTCATTTTATATTAACTAACAATTTTTCTCCTAGGTCGCTGGATTTGTGACTGTTGTCAGCGAGCCCCCCCAACACCCAGGAAAGTGGGCAGAAGGGGGAAAAACAGCAAAGAGGGATAAAATAACTTTTTGACCTCAATATTGTAATACGCATTTAAATGAACTATTTGGTGCCAATTTATTTACAACATTCTCATTTTTATTCCAATAAAAGATTTTTTTTGAAATTAACTATTTGCTTAAAATCTGCAAGTTGATTTATTTCTGTTATAAGCTACTCTCATGTAGAGAAAGAGTTCATCTTCCAAAAGGTTTTTATATCTTAGTACTTTGCCTCTCAGAAATTCAGTGGAAATATTAGACAGCTTAATTGAAATACTTAACTATTCTTCTATTAGCCTGAAAGTTACTTTTATTTTTATGAAATTTTCCTAATCTGTATTGTTTCTGGGCTACCATAGGTAGCATAACAAAGTTATTTAATAACGGAAGAATTTTAATAAATAGGTAGCCCAAGATGTTACCATTACAAATGACCTGATGAGATTGGTGCAGGTGATTTTAGAACCGTCCTTAACTGGACCTGCCTGCCAGGAAGTCCCGTTTAGGCAGGAGGTACCGTTCCTGCTTGCGGTGTAGGCCTGGGGCGTCCGTCCACGCTCAGGCAAGTATGAAGAAAACTTTACATTTCAGACTTGGTTTTACTAACTCTTCAAAGCCTACACCGTCTAACTTCATTTAGAATCGCTAGAGGAAATCATAAAGCTATTAGCCTTTTAATGTGAGCAAACTGCATGAAAGGTTGCTTTATTTTGATTTCTTTTATATACACCTACATTACTGCAATAATCTTTTTAGTCACCTGGCAAACTAATCAAAAGTGGAGTTTGAACATTTTATTTTTCATACTCCTTTTCTAGGAACTTTGATCTTTAAATGAAAACAGACACCATGCCGCGGCTCTTGCTACTTTGGGGTAACTGAGGTAGCAATGGCATGGCTTTACGTCACCAGCACATCACCAGGGGAGAGCAGCTAGTTCACAGCGAACCGCAATCAACTTCACAGGTTAAGGTATTACACTCCAGAGTATGTGCAGTGAAATCAAAACAGAATTTCAAGTACCAGCTTCAAAATACTAATTAGTATTGTCCAGAGCACGGACTCCTCTTCCTGAGACGCATCTTCCGGAGCGTAAGCGTGCTTGTGACTCGGATCACTGCCGTCCGAGTAGGCGGCCTCGCCGAACGGGTGCTGTTCGACGGTGCGGTCGTAGTACACTTTCATCTCAAACTCGCTCTCGTGGTGAGACGGGTGTCCGTAGATCCCGATGCCCACGGGGCGCTGGAAGTGCGCTGGAATAAAGACGACGTCCTGGCCGCAGGTGACGGACTGCAGCTCGTAGTCGTCGAAGCTCGGGTGGAGCGTGCCGTCAGACACGTACAGGTCTGCGTCGCCCTTCAAGCTCTGCATCTGAAGAACTATCTTTCCCTCGTGATTTAACCTCAAATAGCTGTAATTCCCAGCTCCTATCTGACCCTGAACGACGTGCAGAAGGACCCATTCTTCTGGAACTTGCTCCTCGTCAGAGGAGCTCACCGAGGACACAGCTTGAGACGCCAGCAGTAGGAGCAGCGCGCTCTTCCAGGGAGCCGCCATGATGCGCCCTAGCCCCGCGACCTCCACATCTGCGAGCGCTCTGCGGAGAAAGGAGAGGACACGCTCAGCACGCCCCTGGCACCGGGGCAACGCTGCGCTCAGGACAGGACAGTCCGCCCAAGCCAGCAGCCTGGGCTCAGACTTCGGGCGGGTCCAGGGCGACCTCTGCGGCCCGCTGCCCTCGCCCTCGGCCCAGGGAAGGGGAAGGGATGGGGAGGGAGGGGATGAGAAAGGGAGGGCAGAGGAGGGGGTAGGGATGCGTAGAGGAGGGGAGGGGAGGAGAGGATGAGAGAGGGAGGGGAGAGGAGGGGGTAGGGATGCGTAGAAGAGGGGAGGGAAGGAGAGCATGGGGAGGGGATGAGAAGGGGAGGGGGTAGGGATGCGGAGCGGAGGGGAGGATGGGGAGGGGAGAGAAGAAGGAGGGCAGGGGGAGAGGATGGGAGGCCGTGCAGGGAGCGGCCCGCGCGGAGAGGGGCACGGAAGGCACGGAGCGGAGAGGAGGGCTAGCGGGCAGGCCGGGAGGGCAGCGCGGGCCGGGGAGGGCGGCTCCGGGGCTCCGCCGGGCGGGGAGGGGAGGGAAGGCCGGCCTCTCGCCTCCGACTCACCCCGCTCCCCGCAGGGCCCCGCGCCAGCAGCAGCGGGCCAGGCCGGCGGCCGCGCCAGAGCAGGCGGAAGTGAGGCGGCGCCCGGAAGTGACGCAGCGGCCCCAGCGAGGCCGCCCGGAAGTGGCGTGGCGATGGGAAGCGAGGCCTCTCTGGGAGCGACGGGCCTCCGGGCTCTCGCGAGAACGGCGAGAGGGGCGGGGGCGCTAAGAGACGGAGAGCTCGTAACCATGGCGACGGGACGGGGCGGGGCGCAGGCCCTACGCTCTCGGATGCTCACCTGACTGCGCATCCGCCTCGCAGGTCCCCAGGTGAGAGGCAGGAGCGCCCGAAGGAGCCTAGTCAGGGCACCTGTTCCCTGTCCTGTGTTCACCTGACTGAGCGTCCACCTCGCAGGTCCCCAGGTGAGAGGCAGGTGTGCCCGAGGGAGCCTCGTCCGGGCAACTGTTCCCTGTTCTCCTTTCCTCTTAAGAACATGGTATTTTTTTAAATGCTTCTAAAAGAGGTTTCAAGATGGAGTTGTATTTATATTCAGAATTTATTTTCTTAATTTAGAATATGGTGTTAAGAGGCACCCATTGGCGATTGAAAAGAGATTTCCCTAGGAAACATTATGTGCATTTTAGTGTCACACTTTTGTGTTGATTTCAATTCTTGTGTTTCATTTAGAACCTGCTGAATCACGTTTGTGGAAACAAGTGGCGTGTAAATATGAAAAACATGCAATGACCCTTGTGGCCATTTCTATAGAAGCTGAACTTTGTCAAGTAGTTACAAAACTTGTGGGTTGGTCAGGATGTAACGGAGATTGACATGTATTGGGTTAAAGAGTGTGTATGTTGCCACATTGACGTGGTACGTTTGCAGTCACTTATGGGTGCGTAAAACTGGCATGAGGATATATGGCTGATTACATTTTTGGGGTTGATTTGCCTGAAGTTGGGCGAAGCTGCATCCAGGTGGGTAGTGATGCACTGGTCTTGGGCTAATGATGGAGATGGCACTAGTGGGTCTCAACCCCTTCTCCTGCAGAAAGTATCTGGGTACAGGTCTGATACCCCCATGAAACTAGGCAGTTCCTGAGTGTAACTATGCATTTTATTTCTCTGTTAAGAATGCATATCAGACTGGAATACAAGAGAGTGGATACAACACAGGCATACATCTGGATCTGTTTTGAATCATTAAAAAAGGAAATGATTTTAAAACATCGGTATAACTCTTATTAGAAGTCAATGATTTGTGCTTACCTATTAAGACACAGGCACAAAAGTCAATCTGTGGCCTGTAAGTCAGTCTGGCCAACAGAAAGAGGGTATCAATTTTTTGTTGTTGTTGTTATTAAAGCAGCTAAATATAAAGAGTAGTATTACCTTTTAAAATGTTTAATAATTTAGGAAAGAACTTAAAGACAGACATACCTGGGTATAATTTTGTACTGTTTCCAAACCTCTGTTGTCAGTCGTTACTCCATTTTATACTCGTTATACCTTCAGGATAGCTAGAGTTACAACTTCTCTCCTGTTCTGGCTGATGTGGAGAACTTTATATCTTCTTTTGCTACAAAATAAACCATTAAGGGTACTTTAATTATGGTGCTATTTATCACTTTACTATAGGAGCTCAACATGCTGTCCAACCACCATGTTAACGTTTTCCTAACTCAAGAATAAAACAGCACTTTTCTGGCTTGCTTAGCTGCTAAAAGAGAAAGATTATGATCTTTTCTAATCAGAAGGGGGTAATTTCTTTTTCTAAAAGTATACAGATACACATATATACATAGAAAAAACCCAGAAGGAGATGCACAGGGTTTTAACAGTGTTGCCCCTTGAGTAGTAGAGAAGAATTATTTTTTTTTCTTGTATGGATTTTCTAACTTTGTACAATTCACATGCATTGCTTCTGAATCAATAAAAAGGTCTTGAATGTACAGCCTCCAGTTTTCTGGGATCACTGTCGGCTTTGTGTTTACTGACTTAACTTTAAAACTATGGTCTCTCCAGAAGCCACTTGTCACTACGTTTTCCTGAAGTGCTTACATAGTCTTAGATACACTAGAATCTTATTAAAAAAAAAACTTTAGTGTATCCTCTGAGACTTGTTCCTATGCATGCATATCAGACTCTTACATTGTTTTCTCCTGGGGAATGTGCAGCCTGGAGAGGAGGTGGGTGGGGAGGGAAAGTTCAACTGTATTATTTCTGCATTGTTCAAGTGCTTTGCACTGTATTGCTTTTGTAAGCAAAAAAGTGAAACCATTTATATCAGTGAGGGTAGACTAGTGCCGTGGCAAACAACCCTGACAGTTGTATCTTTCTCACACAGTCCTATGTGGCTGCTCAAGTAGGATCACACTCTTAAGCATCAGAGACCTCTTCCATCTTGTGGTTCCCTCTTCCCTAGGCTCTCCAAATCCTCTCCATTTAGCCAGTGGGTGGGGGAAGAGAAGAGAGAATCATGTATGGGAGGGTTTTAGGGGCTACATTACTTATGCCCACCTACTGCCTGTCCCTGCTGCCATGGCCAGAGCTCAGCTGCGTGGTGGCACCTAGCTGCAAGGGAAGCTGCACCATGTAGTTTCCAGAAGGAAAGGGAATGAATTGTTGAACAAGGGGCAGTACCTGTCATTGCCTCCTTTCTTGTGACCAGACATCTGCTTCTCTCTTGAGTCCACATGAAGAACCCATCTCCCCAAGGCACACATCTAGTTGTGGCATCCAGTGTGACACAGAGCATCTGCCAGCATGGCACAGTTCTCTCCCTCAGGCCCGGATATGGTTCCTTATGGTCCAGGGACCTATGAACTAAAAAGACAGGCTATCTTCTCCCCCACCAAAGCACAGGGTTTAAATGTGACCAGGGTTATTGTAACAGAATCTCCCCTTCATAAGGGACGTTGGTCCATAGTGACGCTGAAATCTGGTGGGGTGATCTAATTAGATTTATATCCAACTTAAATCCTATTTGACCCTGACTCTGCTGCCTCGACCCTCCTCTTGTATGTTGTTGGTCCTACCCTCAGGTCTCTTCCCTCCATGGCCTCATCTGAAGGGGTCAGTGAGATGATGCTGTCCTCAGAGACGCCATGGTCCACCTCCTGCACCGATGAAGAAGGGCCCAAAGATGCTCAGTCTTAAGCAGCCAGCATGTCTTTATCTGTTGCTCCATGTTTCTGTGGCCTCTTGGCTCTCTTAAGAGCACAGTGGGCCCTGGTCTGTCCATCCAGTCAGCTGAACGTGCCAGCTAGCAACTCCACTGTAATCCTGCCGACTTAAGCTTTCAAGGCTTTTATTTTTCTTTTTTGTATACTTGCCCTCTTGTCTGTCTTGGAACTGAAAGGCTGGTACCTGGAGGTTATATGGAACTGAAGGCTTAAGTGGGAAGGCAACCATCCTTGATGTGGTTTCAGGTCTTACATTCAAGCCTTTAATCCATTTTGAGTTAATTTTTGTATATGGTGTAAGCTAATGGGCTACTTCCATTCTTTTACACTTGGCTGTCCAGTTTTCCCAGCACTGTGTATTTAAGAGACTTTCCTTTCTCCGGTGTATGTTTTTGGCTCCTTTGTGGAAGATTAGCTATCCATAGATGTATGGTTTTATTTCTGGGCTTTCAATTCTGTCCCATTGATCTTTGCATCTGTTTTTGTACCAGTACCATGCTGTTTTGATTACTATAGCTTTGTAGTATACTTTGAAGACAGAAGCATCTTTGAAGATGCTTCCAGCTTTATTCTTTTTTCTCAGGATTGTTTTGGCTATTTGAGGTCTTTTATAGTTCCATTTAAATTTTAGTATTCTTTGTTCTATTTCCCTAAAGAATGTCATTGGGATTCTGATTGAGATTGAAATGAGTCTGTAGATTGCTTTAGGTAATATGGACATTTTAACTATGTTTATTCTAATCCATGTGCATGGGATATCTTTCCATTTCTTTATGTCTTCTTCAGTTTCTTTCAATAATGTCTTATGGTTTTCAGTATATAGGTCTTTCACCTCCTTGGTTAAATTTATTCCTAGTTATTTTATTCTTTTTGTTGCGATTGTAAATGAGATTGTATTCTTGAGTTCTCTTTTTGATAGTTCATTATTAGAGTATAGAAATGCAACTGGTTTTGGTAAGTTGATTTTATACCTTGCAACTTTGCTGTAGTTGACTATTTTCAATAGTTTTCTAATGGATTCTTTAGGGTTTTCTATATATACAATCACGTCATCACGTCATCTGCAAACAGCAAGAGTTTTACTTCTTTCTTTCCAATTTTGGCCCCTTTTATTTCTTTTTCTTGCCTAGTTGCTCTGTCCAAAACCTCCAGTACTATGTTGAATAAGACTGATGAGACTGGGCACCCTTATCTTGTTCCTGTTCTCAGAGGGTTGGCTTTCAGTTTTTTATTGTTGAGTGTGATGGTGGCCATGGGTTAGTCATATATGGCCTTTATTATGTTGAGGTACTTCCCTTCTATACCCATTTTATTGAGAATTTTTATCATAAATGGATGTTGGATCTTGTCAAATGCTTTCTCTGCATCTATTGAGATGATCATATGGTTTTTATTCCTCAATTGGTTAATGTGGCCTATCACATTCATTGATTCATGGATGTTGAACCATCCCTGTGTCCCTGATATAAATCTCACTTGATCATGGTGTATGATCCTTTTGCTGTATTGCTGTAATTTGTTTGCCAATATTTTGTTGAGGATTTTTGCATCTATGTTCATCAGTGGTACTGGCCTATAATTTTCCTTCTTTGTGTTGTCCTTGTCTGGTTTTGGGATCAGGATGATGTTGGCTTCATAGAATGAATTAGGAAGCATTCCATCTTCTTCAGTTTTTTGGAATAGTTTGAGAAGGATAGATATTAAATCTTTGAATGTTTGGTAGAATTCTCCAGAGAAGCCATCTGGTCCTGGACTTTTATTTTTTGGGAAGTTTTTGATTACCATTTCAATATCTTTACTTGTGATCAGTCCATTCAGATTCTCTATTTCTTCTTGATTCAGTTTTAGAAAGTTGTATGAGTCTAGCAATTTATCCATCTCTTCTAGGTCATTAAGTTTATTGGTGTATAGCTTTTCATAGTATTCTCTTATAACCCTTCATATTTCTGTGGTGTCTGTTGTAATTTCTCCTCTTTCATTTCTGATTATATTCATTTTGGCCTTCTCTAATTTTCTTCTTGGTGTGTCTGGCTAAGTGTTTGTCAGTTTTGTTTATCTTCTCAAAGAACCAGCTCTTAGTTTCATTGATCCTTTCTACTGCTTTTTTTGGTTTCTGTTTCATTTATTTCTGCTCACATTTTTATTATTTCCCTCCTTCTGCTGACTTTGGACTTTGTTCATTCTTTTCTAGTTCTGTGAGGTGTAGTTTAAGATCACTTATTTGACATTTTTCTTGTT